AACCCCAACATGAAAATCGTGACAAGCGGGTCATGTAGCAACATGACTACATGCTACGCTCATGGTGCGCTCGTGGCGGTTTGGCTAGCGTCACATACACGAAATTTGGTAATATGGTACGTGAATGGGTGACGAAAGTATGTGACTCGTTCAAACATGATAATCATGAGATTCGTCTCATGTAACAGCATGACTGCATGCCACGCTCATGATGCGCTGGCGGCCGTTTCGGTAGCTTCACTTATACCAAATTTGGTACTTCGGGACGTAAATGGATGACGAAGGTATGGTAATGGTGCAAACATGATATACATGAGATGCGTCTCATGTAACAACATGACTACATGCTACTCTCATGATGCACTCGCGGCCGTTTCGCTAGCTTTACATGTACCAAACTCAGTATTACGTGACGCGTATGGACGACATAGGTAAATGACACATCCAAACAAGATAATCCTGACATGCGTGTCATTTAACAACATGACTGCATGTCACGCTCATGATGAGCTCGCAGCCGTTTCGCTAGCGTCAAATATGCCATTTTTGGTATTACGGTACGTGAATGAATGACAAAGGGGCAAACATGATAATCATGATATCCTTGTTATGTAAGAACATGACTACATGCCGCGCTCATGATGCGCTGGCGGCCGTTTTGCTAGCTTCACTTATGCCGAATTTGGTATTACGGGACGTCAATGAATTACAAAGGTATGATACTGGTGTATACATGATAAAAGTGAGATGTGTATCATGTAACAACATGATTACATGTCACGCTTATGATGCGCTCACTGTCGTTTTGCTAGCTTCACATATGACGAATTTGGTATTACCTGACGTCAATGGATGACGAATGTGTGCGACAGGTGCAAACAAGATAATCATGAGATGCGTGTCTTATGAGAACATGACTACATGCCACAGTAAAGGCGCCAATGCATTTCGACTTGACGCGGTGTGCGTGCTCACCAGCGTTCATTTCTTCGCGTCATGCCGGCGTTGCCATGCCAGGCGCCAGTCTTGCCATATACTTAGAGTTACTGTATATGCTACGTAAATGTAGTATATACAGTAACTCTACATATATTTGCAGGCACGCGCCACGCTGCGTTGCTTTGATGAATGCACGTTTTAGCGCGTCCGGTGTCCCTCCGTCACGAAACGAGGGAGACGCAGTGTTGTCTGGGTAACGCATCGGTGCGAAATGCAGCATGTCGCATTTAGCGCCGATTGCCACGGCACCTTGCCGATGGACGCTAATCACGCCCAGCGTCAGACTATAGTGCTCTCGTTTTGTTAATGTAGCGTCGCTGTGCCCAGCGTGAGCGCGCGTCAACGCTAAATTGGAGTATATTGTGCCCTTCATAATGCTCTCGCGGCCGTTTCGGTAGCTCCACATATACTTAATTTGGTGTCGCGTGACGTGAATAGATGACAAAGGTAAAGGACACATCCAAACATAAGAATCATGACACAGAAGTCATGTATCGCATCATTTACCTCAACAGTTGTAACGTTTTGCTGATTTTAAAGTGACATATTAGCATTTCTTATTCGTGCTTCGCATGTGATCGGTTCCCAGTGCACGTGAGATATGCCAATATTTTTATTGTATTTGTTGTCAATGTGTATGAGTGTCGTCAGAGATGTTGCGACACTGTGCTACGTTGTAACCAAGGAGCTGCGTTGCACAGTGACTTGTTCGCTGCACTTTTGTTTTCTAATTTTTTCACTTCATTTTGACGCCTTTGAAACCACCTCATGGCAGGAATCTTTTTGTGGCCGTTATTTGTTGCAGTTTGGCTTACACCTTTCTCTTATGAGGCGGGTACCTTTCGTTTTGGCGACAGAAGGGCGATAACATGCGCTTCGTGTTAGCGTTGTCGAATGCCTTTAAGTCATGATCCCAGAGTACTTGGTGTTGTAAGTTTTCTACCCTGATATGCATCAGTACGCTGGCTAGGTTTGGGTGAAGGGTGTTTGCATCAATTTACTGCTCGGTTTCCTTATATCTATACGTTTGAACTTGTGAACGAGAATTTGTTCTTGGTTTTTTGGGAATATATGAGAGACGAGGGCACCACTAATTTAATGGCGTTTTTGCTTTTCACAACGTTATGACAGTTCAGGAATTCTACCACCACAAATATTTTGGAACTTTTGTGCCGAGAGAAAAAGCTCATCAAGCGTGTTTTCATGGTTCATTTCTTTTTATTGGCTTCAGTGTCTCGCGAGAACAATAAATCGACTGCTGCATGATCAAATCACCGTAGCCCACGCGTGGGCGATCTTTGCCGAGGTGATGAGAAATTGTGCACAAAACGAGAGAGGGAGAATCAGAGGAACATTTATTGATGAGGTTTCTTGCTTCAGTACCCTAAACTTACAGAAGGGAAATGGGCAAAAGATGACGAAGCGGACAAGCAAACAGATTAGAGATTCTGTATGAAGTGTGCGCTATCTGCGTGGCCAACACTAACATAAAACTATATTTAAGTACGTAATAAACCATAGAGTAGGTATTGAAAGATAAAAGCGTATCTTCTGGATACTGAACTCCTCGTACGACGAGAAGAACGTATGCATGGAAACTTCATCTAGGAATATGGCACTTCCTTTGTTTACGTTGTTCTGGCAATCGTCACACCTATTTTAAATGCTAAGTATTTCTTGGCAAACTTCGGCGAATTCGAGCGTATCTATCTACATATCTATCCAACTACCTAGCCGCCTACAACTTTTAATTGCGAAGCATTTCTTAGCGAACTTAGGCAACTTTGAGCGTATCTATCTATCTATCTATCTATCTATCTATCTATCTATCTATCTATCTATCTATCTTTCTTCTTTCTATCTATCTATCCGCTTACGACTTTTAGCTCTCCTGGCCGTTTAAGTTGTGGTATTGATACCAAACTTCGTAGGGCGTAACGTGACTGTATGACGAGTGTAGTCAACCATTCATAACATGAAACTCATGATATGTATGACATGAAAGTCATGATTTTACATTTCATGACTTTGCTGCTCTCGCAGTGGTTTCCTTCACGTGACATGTTGCAAAACTGCTTTGGGAAGAAATGACTGCATGACAAACGCAAGCGGCACACCCTAACGTAGAAATGATGACATGCATGCCAAGTAAGTCATGAGTCATGACTACTCGTTAGGCTCATGAGGCGCTCGTGGTTGTTTCGCTAGGTTCACATATACCAAATTTCGTATTACGGGACGTTAACGCATCAAAAAGGTATATGACTGGTGCTGACATTATAGCCTTGAGATGCGTGTCATGTTAGAACATGACTCTATACTACGCTCATGATGCACTCGTGGTCAATTCACTAGCTTCACATATATCCAATTTGGTGTTGTGGGACATGAATGGATGACTAAGCTATGTGACTGGTGCAAACATAATAATCATCAGGAGTGTGTCTTGTAAAAACATGACTACATGCCACGCTCATGATGCGCTCGCGGCCTTTACGCTAGCTTCACATATACCAAGTTTGGTATTACGGGACCTGAATGAACGACGAAGGTATGTGACTGGTGCAAACATGATAATCGTCAGGTGCGTGTCATGTAACAACATGACAACATGCCATGCCAAGATGCGCTTGCGGGCGTTTCTATAGCTCCACATATACCAAGCTTGGTCTTACTGGATATGAATGGGTGACGAAGGCATGTGACGGGTGAAAGTATGATAATTGTGAGATGTGTGTCATGTAAGAACATGACTTCATGTGACACTGAAGGCACCAATACACTTCGATGGAACCCGGCACGCGTGCGCGCCAAAGTTTGTTTCGTCGCGTCACGACGGCGATGCCACGTCAGGCGGCGATCTGGCTATCTTAAAGGGCCACTCACCAGGATTGACAACTTTTAGCTGACAAGCGCAATGCGTAGACGATGCGTTCACGATCACATCTGCCAAACTTTACAATGCTACGCGCCGCAAAAGTGGGTCAAATTTCAAGATGAAAGCTGCTCCCCCTCCCCTTTGTCGCCACACGCGTCGAGAATGAGGGCATGACGTAGGCGTATACGAATGACCCTACGTACACGGCAATGCAGTGACGTTGATTCTCTGCGTAGACGAGCCTGCTCTGACATTGTCAACAGTATACCACGTGACATAGCAAAAAATTATTTAACACAACATGCGTAGTTTATGTATTTTTTGCTTTAAGAGAATAATAAAACTTGAAATAATTATTGAGACGAAAAACGCGCAGGGTTCGCAATGGCGTGAGACATGGCTCCGCGTCGACTCGGTGAAGTGACCACTTTTTCACGCGGAAAGGACAACAGCCAGCTGATAAAGTACTGGGTATGGTTGCGGACGTGCTCAGGATCCTGTGGCTATCATTCTGGAAACTGTAAGTAGATTATAAAGGATTTTATTGCGACTTCCGTGTTCGGCTACGATTGTGCGTCTCACCAACTCCACCGTTCGGACTAGCGCCGAGGCGGTCAGATCGGCGTTCGTGGCTCCAGGCGTCGGCTGGTAGGGCGTCTGCGGAGGCACTATGACGATGGAAGTGACTGTTATTGGTAGAGACGCCGATCACAATGAATTGAAAAGCTCAGACAGGGTGACAAAAGTGTCGAAACGTGTGGCGGAGCTCCAGGAGAGTCAACAACAGGAACGCGATGGCGCCACCAGGGTGGGGTCTACTAGCAGTGGATGCGGAAAAGAAGGCAGGACGATGCCGGCCAGCTTCAATGGCGACAAGCATGGTGTAAGCGGGAGACCCTAATATAAAGCGGCGGGAAAAAAGCTCGTGGAGCGGTCAGTAGCGTTGCATCTAGCGCGTCTTCCGAACACGGATCACAAGGTTATTATCAGGCCCAAAGATGGACTGACGCTAACCAGACGCTCGGCACCTGTTATTGGTGGACTAATAAGGATGGCAGCAGGCATTTCATGACAGAAAGGTCGGGAGGAGGACAGGATCGCTGTCAACGACAAGCAAGGAACAATGATATACACCACGCCCAGGGAGGATGATGCCAAGAAAATATTCGACCTGAAAGTCATTAAGCTCGACGGCAAGGGGTACGAGGTGAAGACATGCATGGCTGCGCCTGAAAGCTGTGACAAAAGAGTGGTACGTTGACTTGATATCAGACTCTCTGAGAGAGAATTGGAACTGGCTTTCTCACACGAAGAGAATCGTCCTATTCTTGGTGTGCGAAGGATGGGCAACTCCACTTCCGTAATCATAACCTTTGTTGACGACTACGTGCCGAGATGGATGATCTGCTTTGGGACGCCGATGAAATGTTTTCTCTACAAGAAGAGATATGAAGTGTGTTACAAGTGTGGTGAGCTGGGACATCGATCCGACGTATGTGACAGCCCGCACGCAAAATGCAGAGTTGTGGGGTGGCCTCCCCACCCAAGGACCATGAATGTACGCCGAGGTGCTGTCCCGGAGACAAAAGGTGCAAAGAACTATTTCGGACACCTTATATAGTGAAGAAGCGACAGTGGGAAATGAAGCTTGAAGAAGCGCGGGAGCAAGAAGAACGACGCAAGGCCGAAGAGGGCACGCAGTGGCACAGCAGGACAGACGGGGTTCAAGATCGTTCGAGGCGCAAATTCAAGCATCGAAGTACATCGAGAGGGCGCTCCGAATCCTTCCCCCAATTGCCACCGCTGGAGAAGCCGGGAGTTTCTCACAAGGCATCCCATGATGGTGGTGATTGTTCCCAGGAGAAGTCAAAATCCACAGGACCACAGGTGGGTTGGGTATGGGTAACTAAGGTTTCCCAGGATGCTAATACAGAGATGATTAATGCTTTTAAAGAGCAAAACAGGAGATTACAGGAGCAAAATGCGGATTTACGCAAACAGCTTGATGAGATTAAGGCTCATCTAACCAGTAAACCAGGGAAGGCGCTGGAAACACCCCAGGTAGCAAACCAACCGCCTTTAAAGAAGAAGAGAGCTAAAGAAGCAGAAATTGAAGAAAATTGAAGCACTTGAGGTAGAAACAAAATCATTACAAGGTATGCTCCAAGCTCTACTAGAACAGATGAAACAAGTAGGCAACGCTATTGAGCAAATTAAGGCTGAATTTGCTAGCAGGGACCGACAGATAGAATGGCTATGCCGAGCGTTCAAGCTAAACCATGATAGCTCTGCACCTTTACACTAATACGATTTGGCAGTGGAACTGTAGGGGTTTCCCGCGCAAACGTGCGGTTTTACAATCTTTTCTTACCGACGCCGATTGACCGGAGGTTATTGCAATGCAGGAGTGTGGGAAAAATGCAAAATTAGCAGGTTACAAATCTTTTGCCGGGTCGGGTAATGATACCCAAGTTACGACCTTCGTAAGGAGAAACATTACGACATTGCAGCACAAGACGGGGAACTTGCAGATTGATCATGTATAAGTCGAACTAGTGCCTCGCAAGCGCAAAGACAAGAGTCGTTTTATCCTGAATGTGTACAGTTCTCCCAGGCAGCCCAAAATTAACTTTGGTGATATTTTCACGAAAACAAAGGTTATTTCAGCAAACGGTCTACTATTGATTTTGGGCGACTTTAATGCGCATCATGCGGCATGGGGTTTTAAATTCACCCAGGTTAAGGGCAGAAATTCGTGGATCGAATTTCAACAACATGAGCTCATACTTATAACAGACCCAATGAAGCCAACGAGGAAAGGAAATAGCGTATCTCGAGACACGATGCCAGATCTTACCCTGGTCAGCAGTGCCACCACCGCCACGTGGCGCAATACCGGTGAAGACGTAGGTAGTGATCATAGAATTTTAGAGATTATCGTTGCCAATGGCCAACTGGTGATCAATAAGCGAGAAGTTAAAACGACAGATTGGGTGACCTTTAAAATTATCAGGTCGGAACAAGACCTTATAAATGATATTAACGATTGGAGTAAAGGGGTGATCCAGTCGGTTCAGCACGCTACCAAAGAGAGATTGACGCTGGCTGATGAGGAAGTTGTTGATAGACATCTTGTAAGCAATGTGGAAGAAAAAGAAAAACCTAGAATGAAAAATCAGTCAGAAAAGAGGAGACAGGAATCTCCGAAAGGAAGTTGCTGCACTGAATAGAGAGATCGAAGATTATGCATTGGAACTTACCAAGCAAAATTGGGGTAGTGTCACAAACCGAGCGCTCAAAAAAGGGCGCGCCGCCGAATTTTCGTGACGAAGCGCCGAGAAGTCAACAATAAAAGAAGAATGCAAGCATTCAAAGACTCCCCGGGTGAGCGCTCTCTGCCCTCTCAGAAGCGTAGGTTCCCCGACGAACCTCCTCACCCCATATCGGCGGCCGAGCAAGCCCTGGAAATTTCTATATGGAAAGGGGCATGGGGATGCCGGGTTGCGTCATCCATCGGGGATGGCCTTCGAACCGTCTCGCCCTCTCCCCAGCCTTCGCTGCGCATCGCGCCGACGAAATTATGAGAATTTTCTGGAATCGCGCGCGGAAGGTATTTAACCGAGCAGCAGAAGAAGGAAGTTAACGCCAGAGCGCGTAGGGTATTCCGCCGTGTAGTCGGCGAAGGTTTTGTCCGTAGTGACAAAGCAGGAGAAGAAGAAAGTATGTGCCAGTGTGCGTAGGGTGTCCCGCTTTGTAGGCGAAGCCTTTTGTGTTCTGTGACAAAGGAGGAGAAGAAGAAAGTGGAGAAGAAGAGGATTTCCACCTGAGCTGTGACGACTCGAGCTACAGGCAAGAGTGTGTGTCTACCGCTAACGAGCGAAGACGCGTGGCAACAGCTGCGAGTGTGAAGCCGACGTGTTTTCGGCGAAGAAGTGTGGAGCCTGGAGAGCGGTCAATTGAAGACGCGAGGTTTCTTGGAAGAGAAATTTCGAAGGCAGCGGAACGACAACAACACTGGACTTTGAGTGAGTGATTCTCGGAAGAGTATCATTCAGACTTTTGTTCCAAGAATTTTGGACTGATTAAGTTTTCTAACTCTTTAGTCTTTAAGTGTCTTGGTTGTTCGATGCATGCGACTGCATTGTAGTGCGTATTGTCTGTGTCCGTTGCTTCGAGAGTGGCTGATTGTACTGTGTAGTACATTGTTTATTGGTGACATATTGTATTCAGCTTTTGTCGAGTGTGCATACTTGTGTATCGTTTTGATTTGCCATAATTGAGAATATAATTGTGTTTTGTTTATCTCCTCTCGGCTCTGACTTGTTCTTTGGGTCACAGCCGGCGTCCGCTGGCGCGCCGAAGGGGACCACTTCTAAATTGTCCACGCGTTTGTAATGCAGTTCGGGGGAGCCGATACTTCGGCCCTTAAAATCGGCGATCGACTCCCTAATTAACGGGACCTGTGGCAGGTAGTATCTGCGATTAGATGGATAGAGAAATTGGCAGTGCTAAAACATGGCAGCTACTACGCATCTACTAGACCCAGATAAAACCAAGTCGGAGGCCTGACAGCAACTTCAAAAGCTTGTGTATAAATATGAAGGTGAGACGACAGAATTATTAACGGAGGTTAGGGATCGATACCTCTGCTGCGCAGAATCTCAAAAGCTCCCTGACTACGCTGGTTCAGAAAATCCGGACCTTGACAGCCCCATCACGGTTGGAGAAGTCAGGGCTAAAATTAACCAACTTAAAACAAAAACGGCTGCCGGTCCGGACAAAATCAACAACAGAATGCTCAGGAATCTTGACGACGGCTTCATTTGTCAACTTGCAGCTTATATGCAAGAATGCTGGCAAAAGGGAGAAATACCGCAAGCTTGGAAAACGGCCAATGTAGTCTTCGTTCCTAAGCCAGGGAAAAAGCTCACTCTTGAACATCTCAGACCCATTTCCATCACATCTTGCGTAGGAAAATTGAAGGAGCACGTCATCCAAACAAAACTGACTAGGTTCATGGAAGATGAAAACCTATACCCTGATACTAAGATAGGCTTCATATACCACCTATCAACGTGCGATATTATGCTACAGCTAAAGGAGGAGATAATAGAAAAAAAGACTGTTGACACCAAAGTAATTGTGGGTCTGGACGTCTCTAAGGCGTTTGACAATGTCAAACATGAGGCCTTACTTAAGAAGCTTAGTGCGCTAAACGTAGGTGTCAAGACATACAACTACGTGAGGAGCTTTCTCTGAAATCGTACAGCCACAATATGCACGGGAGGGCAGTCGCTCGAAAACATAAATTGAGGAATAAAGCGACGCCACAAGGGTCTGTACTCTTTCCGACTCTTTTTAATATAGCGATGATTGGACTTCCTGAGAAGTTGGAAGGAATTGAAAATCTGCATCACACAATATACGCAGACGATGTGACGCTGTGGGGAAACAGGGGTAGTGACGAACATATAGAAAGCGCACATCAGGCGCCTATAGATACCATCGAACAATATCTCGAACCACAAGGGTTAAAATGCTCGGCACAAAAATCAGAGGCTCTTTATCTACCATCGCAAAAAAAGGAAAACAAACAATCCCCTCGGAAGGGGTTGTGACATCGCTTTGCGAGTGAATGGTAATGCTATTCCAACCGTAGACACTATTGGAATTCCAGAGATGCGCATACAAGCAAATGAAAAAAAAAACACTGAAACTATCCAGAGACGCGAAGCTAGTGCGAACCAGACGTGCCGCCTGCTTAAGCGCATTTCTAACAAGAATGCGGGGATGAAGGAAGCCAATGTTTTAAGATTAGTCTAAGCTTTTGTGATAAGCCGTATATTATACGTTGCCCCTTACCTTAGTTAAGTGAAGCAGAAAAAGATAAAATTGAAGCCAATATAAGAAAAGACATCAAGACTTCGCTAGGGCTTCCCCCGAACACCTCTACAGATAAACTTCTTGGGCTAGGTGTCTCCAACACTTTCAAAGAACTAATAGAAGCCGCCATGGTGGCACAGCACCAAATACTTCTGAGAAGTAGAATCGGGAGGAAAATCATGGAGCGCTTGGGGTTCGAGCCCACGGAGTGCTCCAGGCAAACCACTAGCATACCTAAATCAACTAGGGCTAGACTGAAAATTATACCGCTGCCGAAATACATTCATCCGGCGTTTCATGAAGGCAGACGCAAAGCTAGAGCTGTAGCCCTGCAGGCGAAACTTGAAGGTCGATCTGGCGGGCTTTACACGGACGCTGCAGAATATGAAAGAAAGGGAGCACACACAGCGGTAGTGGTTCGCAAGAACGGGGACCTGGTCTCGTGCTGCACCTCTAAGAACACAACCACCACAGAGGCAGAAAAACTTGCGATTGCTTTGGCAATAGCTCAAAAAGGCACACGAGTGATTGTAAACGACTCTAAGTCAGCCAAGAAAAACTACGCTATGGGCAGGATCTCTGCTACAGCCGCCAAAATTCTAAGACAAGGACCAGTACCCCCAGAGCTAATCTCACTAGTATGGTCCCCGGCCTACAAGGTCTAATGGGGAATGAGAAGGCGCACGAGATCGCCCGAGGGCTCACTTTCCGGTCGATAGACGCTGACCCACCGCCTTCACGCGAGCAGCCCCTCTCCGCAAGAGACGAAGTATGAACGTTTCAGGAAACCACCGCACACTATAAACTTCACCGTAAATCTTACCCAGAGGTAGCTAAACAGCTGAGCAAAAAGGAGGAAATTATGTGGCGAAAATTGCAAACCGGGGTGTTTCCAAATCCTCACCTGTACAGTAAATGACACGCTGAGCTGTTCAACTCCAGATGTGCGCACTGCAACAGCACTGCGGGTTTAGTGCACATGGTATGAACCTGCCCATCCTACA